AAAAAACTAGATTGTTAACCTCGCATATTAAAGCCTAGAGAAATGTTTCTAATATTGAAGTAATTTTAATTTTAATTACGGAAAATGTATACTCCTACATAAAATAACCGTATATTCGTATTATTTAAAAGCTTCATTTTCTTCTCTAAAAGATTAATTTTTTTAACTCTTTACCAAGAGAAATTATATTTGCGCAAAAAAAAACACACATTTTTATGTTAATAATATCGTTCTTGACATTTTTGAATAGTGATTTTCCTAAAACGCTACCCGAAATTCCAGTCGCAATAAATTAGATCCAATAACGAGCGTCTGACAATAAAATGTTCTATTTTAAGTTCCAAGAAGACCCAAATCGTGAAAACTAATTTAAACAGCTCTACATAATAAATAAGAATGAATATTTATATTTCTATAATAGTATGCGTTTTTAACAATATTTTTGCCAGTATAAGCTGAAGGTATTTTAAAACAGGTCATTTATTTATTAAAAGAGATTCGGGTTCCTCTATAAGAGGAATTTGTGTTAATTTAATCTTTTCATGGTCTCAAAAACAAAGTTGAAAAATTAGATCCATTAATTTGATCATAGATAAAATGTTGTAATGCAACAATGTTAGATACATAAATATGCAAATTTTTGAATTTTTCTTTTTTCTTCAATCGTTGAAGAAAAACATTATTTTCACAAAGCTAAAGGTTTCTCTATAGAGACATACAAAGTAAATGTTCAAATCACGTGCAATGTACAGAGACTCACGCAATTTAAGATAAGAAAGAAGGACTTAAAATTCGACAAGCGTACAACTCCCTTTCCACCCTTTTGGTTGTAAGAATAACAAAGAAGTGTACAGGGAGAACATGTAGAAGAAAGATTCCAAGTTTCAATGGAAAAGTATCAATTTAACATTTTTACTGCCTAATCAATGAAGCCAGGTTTTGTCAATTTTTTCAAAGTTAATCTACAAAGAATATTATATTTTTAATAAGCAGGCCTCGGATTGACTTTGAGAATCAAAAAAGTTATTTTAGTCGATTCAAAGTACGGAAAAAGTCGTTCATTTTATTCCAATCCCCAGAAAAGTTAAAAAAATTTCAATAGCAAACCTATTCTGAAATTGTATTAGATACTTTTAAAAATTGCTGCAGTAATTTTTCCAACATTTAATTATTTTCTAGAATAGCATTTAGCTAAAATTATTTGAAAGTTTAATAAGTTGAAACTTTCTCGAATTTAATTTTTTACAAAAAATTCATAACTCTCCCTATACCTATTCAATTATTTTCCAGAATTTTTAACTTAAACATTTTCTTCTCTAATTAATTATCTTTTAATATTTTCAGAAATTTCTGTGACAATTAAATTATTAAGGGGAGGTTTTACCTATATTTTTAACTATATTAAGAACATGATTTAAATCTTCCGAATAAAAAAATTGATTTTTACTTTCTTTGAAGCATTTTTTTGGAAAGACATTGTTTTCAGGTTGAAAATGATAAAAAAATAGCATTGTTATTCAATTTTTTTATTTAGAAATCGATTTGTTTATTTTTCTAACTAATTCCAAATCAATGTTTTTATATTTTTTTAAAATTATGATTTAAAATTAATTAGAAAAATAAAATAATATTTCCATAAAAATAAAATGGAATAATAATGGTATTTTTTTTAGCGTTTTCAAACTAAACAACTATATTTTTTTCCAATAAAAATGCTTCAAAAATAGTAAGAATCAATTTTTTCATTCGTCAATTTTGTTGTGGATATAAAAACATATTTCCTACAAAATTACGGTTGGATTTTAAAATCTATCAGTTTTTAAGAAAAATAAGACACTTTGATAGAAAAAGTTTTTACTATACCTATATAGTTATTTTTCACACTTTGAAAATTAAGATAATTGTCAATTTACAGAAAAAAGTGGTATATTTTTTTGAAATATGTGGAAGAAAAGTCGAAATAGTCGCACTTTAATTAAAATTAGTAGTAAATTAAGACATTTTTTTAATAAAAAAAAATGTATTTTTTGATAACAGTCGAAAAAGTCACATTACCCGAGGCCTGAACAAGAGTAACCTCAACTTTACGCAATAATATTATATTCTAAAATTTCTATTGAGATTTATGTTACCCAATATATCCACAAATTTTTTACACTTGATTTAGTTACTTTGACAAGTATTAAATTTTAATAAACAGAATCAATTACGCGGATTATTTATGGTTATTAAAGTAAGGTGTATGAGTAAGAGAAATACACGAGTTTAGTATAACACATTAAGTAGAATATTACCACATAAACCGAACCAGTTTCCCTGTTTTAATATTATGTTCAGGACCTACGTATATGTACGTATAATTAAAAGCGCAGTTAAGTCCTGAAAATTGAAATTGAATTTGGTGGATTCGATAATTATTATAAGCCAAAAGAAAACGCGGCATTGATTAAATTTCTATTAAAATATTTTGTATGTTATTAGCCAAATATCAATTCAAGTTTAATTATTGGAAACTTCCCGTGTGGAAATCTGGCCAATATTTCCCTGTTTTCAGTTTAGCGCCGCCACATTCAAGTACAATATAAATTCATAAAATAACATAATACAATAAAAACAGGACCAATAAATATTTTCGCATATTATAAAACGCATACTCATATATAATTGTGTGTAAAAGTAAAGTTTCCTTTAATTTGAATAGGTTGCCCATTCTGTCGAAAGACACTGGCTGGCAGTAACATTTAATGTTTAATTAGAAGTTGAAATAGAGGGGTCGCATATTATTCCTGTACGACCGGTGCACTGTTGAATGAATTGCACCTCTAACAACGTTACGACGATAACTCGTCAATTATAATAGTCCTCGCAACCTATCTTTTGTCTCATATTCTATAGCTGACTCATGTTTGTCGACCAAATATCACCAAACTTGGTTGTGCACGTCTGCAGTAACCTTTTCAAGTTAAGATAAGCGTACATTCAAATATTCCCATTGTTCTGCATTAAATCTTTTCAATCTTAACCAAAAACGAATGAATTTCATTTTAACAAGAGAAAACCATTATGTATTTGCATGATTACACGATGGAACCTCCTAATGAATAATAAATCCAATTTCTTTCGTGTAATCAATTAACCTCAATTTACAAAGTACAAACATTTATATAATTCGCATAATAATGTGTAACGATATTGGTCGAAATAATTATCCAGTCAAATTGATTTAATGACAGTTAAATCAACTTGATTCAGAGAATACCTTGCTTGAAAATGAAAATTCCAGTAAATTGTAACCGCGCTCTACGTCGAATGCAGGAATACATAATAATTATATTTGTTAATTTCACAGAGATGTTAACTGCAACAAATTCACTTACAATTAGAATGTACGTACGCTCAAATTTTCATTTCTGTCAGGTAGTGCAACTGAAAAGGTCCAAGGATATTTATAAACCCAGATACTCAAATATAGAAAGTTGATTTGAAATTAGCTTTGGAAATCCGAAGTAATATTGGCAAATTCATCTACACATTCAATGCGACACTGATTTGAAAAATAAATAAAATAACATTTGATGCATTTGACCCAGAGTGACACATTAAAGAGTGCAATTCTTTGACGTTCTCTTGACAAGTACATACACGAGTGTCGAGTGTAATATTTTGCAAAGAAATTTATGACAACGCACAAGTACAAAACGACAGAAACCGAAAGTAATCTGGACAAAATGTGAAAATCTGACAGGAGAATGATAATTTATTTGCAACTCAACGAGTAGACGATAAAAAAACAGTGGGGGATTAATTCCAGAAAAATTGGTAGCGCTTTGAAAAAATGGAAAAAGTATGTTTAAAAAAAATAATAATACAGGGTTGGAAGGGATGGGAAAATGGTATATTTATGTCCTTGTTGCAAGATAAAGACATTTCCTTCACTTTATTACGAACAACAAGACTTGGTTTTATGTCCGACAAGAGGATTGCCAGTCCCAGAGAGGGAGAAGGACGGTTGCATTTAATATAATGTTGGAGATTTCCCATTAGGATAATCAAGCGTAGCAAACGAGAGATAAAGAGGAATTGAGTTGAAACTATGATGGATGCACGATTAAACGTTTACGACGACCTACCCTCAGGATCCAAGTAACGACATTAACTTACTAAAAAGGCGAAATTTATCTAGTCCAAAAGATAATCTTAACACTCAGATAAGACGTTCTTTGTGAATCTTTGTGAATCTTTGTGAATCTTTATGCACACAATGTTTTGCGGATTTTTCAATCATGCTCCTCCGTCACTGGCAAGCGTTTAATAAAGCGCTCCGCTCTGGCTCCGGAGTTTCAAGTCTCATTTCATGCAGAATCGAATTGGATTTCCGGACTAGCTTGTGTATGTAATGAACAATGAAATATCCCTTTGATGTTTTGGGTCGAGAACGTGCGCGAATACACTTTGTTACAACGCGTTAAATAATCGGTTTATAAAAATTCATGGCAAGCCTAGTGAAGCGAGTTTATATCACGAATATAAACGGATAGTCCTGTGTACACACATATATCTGTTTCTGTGGTGACGATGTGACGAGCCAGCGGGCAGAGAATCCCACGGATAGAGGAAAAATTGAGAGATGCGGGGGATGAGATGTTTTTAATATACTCACTACACGCTTGTGCTTGTGCGAATTTCCACCAAGTTCGTGCTCACACTTTTATCCTTTACATGTCCGCGAAAAATTTATAGAGATACAGCTCTCCCATATTTTTTATTCTAATTTCATTTTTTGCAAAAGAGTTGTTAAAGCCTTCTGGGTAACAGTACTATTTACTTTTTCTTCCTTTAATAAAGCAATGCTAAAAAATCTATTGAAATCTATTGAAAAATCTATTCAAGTTATCGAATTCACATTTTATAAAGTAATTTCCTTAATCTTTAGTTTTATAACTCAAGATATTTTAGAACTAAAAAAATGCTAAAAAGTAACATAAGCCTCTTTGTTTCAGGAACAAGTATTCAACATTGCGATGGATCATTGCACAGAAATAACAAGACACATGTAGAAATCGAAAATTTTGAACCGCAAGGCAATTTTACGAGACTTAAGGAACGATACCGAAGACTGGTGCCCTACATGGCCTACTACCTAGTGGGGAACAATGTAGAAAATCAACCTCCAAGAACTGACAAGTATGAAAAAATTCGGGACAGAATTATTCCTAGAAAACCCCAGTTCAACATTAGACCAAGTTCAGACCCGAGAGAAAGAAACAGACAGCAATACACAAAACAAACCGAAAAGTTTCTACCTTCAGTGCAGTACAATCCCAAAGATGTCGGTCCAAACAAAGCCTACTTCACTCCCATACGTTACGGGATGAAACTAAACCAAAGGGATTACTCTCCATTTTCACCCAACCAAAATACAAGGCCAGTTCATTCCAGACCCACTCTGGGAAATATCGTCTCCGAAACTAAGCTCTACAAAACAGAAGCACCTAGGAAATTACAGACTCTTCCCAAGATGGTGAATTATCTTCCGTTTAGGCAAACGGTTAAAACACCTCCTTCGACCATCGACGACTACTTTCTCGATTACGAAACTCAATCACTTGGAAATCTACAACCAACATCCTACGATTACGAACAACCTTACGAGGAATTTGAATCTTTTCGCTATGCAACTCCTGCACCCGATAGAGTTAACGTTTTCAAACCTCCAATCTCCAGACCCAACGACTTGAATAATCAACCTCTGAAAGTCCCAGTCTCTGAACTTGATCACATAGTGAAAACTTTACAGTTAAGTAACCAATTGCCAGAAATGCTCAACAAGGATAATATCGACAGTAGCATAAGAACACTTGTAGAAATTCTCAATATTCTCCACAACGCAAGAAGCCGACAACCTCAACTACAACATCAAATTACAAACCCTAAGCTCAAATCCAAGCCACCTGATTATGGCTTCCATGAAGACTCCCCAAGACCCCAAGTGTTGGAAACTAATTACTACGTTACACCAAACGTCATTGATAGACCTCCGGAAATAGCAAAGGAATTAGTGAATTTTCAAACACAGCACATTCCAAACGATTTGAAAATACAAAATTCCAATCTGAAGAGCGACAAGGTAACTCAATACTACCATCCCGAAGAACTGGAAATAGATAATAGGTACAAGGAAACTTTTTCACAAATCGCACCTCAAGAAAATATCGAAAATCAACCATATAAAGTTAATCTACATTCGGAAAATACTTTGGAAAATGACAGATTTAGGTATCCAATTAATACCGAGAAACCAACGATTACCAACAATTACCCTGTAGTGAATAATGTGCCCAAAGATAATACACAAAATATACCACCGTCCTTAAAGTACGGAGCTACAAGAGGGAAACCACATGTGGATTATCCAGCTTATTCGACCATACCGCTCACGAATTTTAATTGCAAACAGCAGAGGTACAAAGGTTTTTTTGGAGACCCTGCGACAAGATGTCAGGTAATATTAGCACAACCTGTTTATCAATTATGTTTATACTACACAAAAAGAAAAGAAACTAAATTGGCAAACTTTAGAGAACCTTACTCTAATCTATATAATAAAGTTTAGAATTATTTAGCAAGACTAAATATATTTTTCATACGTGACTGTACAAATTTGCTTACAAGCTCTTTTTAAATTATAAATTTCAGGGATCGTAAAAAGTAATTTTGTCTCTGTAATATTAGATGAGAAAAAACAATTTTAATAATTAAAAGGGAATTCTTTTTATGTAATTCATTTAAAATAATTTATTTTTTTCACTTAGTTACAACTTTTTTTAAATTCAATTTTTCGTTTAATTTTTTCTGTTAGTTATTGATATTTTTCTTTATCTTTTTTCTCAGTCTGCAATTTTTCTATATTTTAAGTCAAATTTTTTATTACAACGTTACTTTTATTTTAAAATTCGATAAATTTTACTACATCTTAAGTAAATTGCAATAAAAATTAGTAAAATGTACTTCTGAGTTACTAAAATTTACTCCCAAAATAATAAAATTTCTATTAAAAATTTTGAATCAAAATTCTTTTTGCAACGCTTCTTTTTTTTAAATTCCATGAATTTTACTATACCCGAAGTAAATATCTGTAAAAATAAGTAAAATTTGCTTCAAAGTTACAAAAGTTTACTCTAAAAATAATAAAATTTACTATTAAAAATTTTGAATCAAACTTTTTGTTACGACAGTTTTTTTTAAATTCCGTAAATTTTACTATATCCGAAGTAAATAGCAGTAAAAATTAGTAAAATTTCCTATTAAAATTTGTTTTTTCCAGAATAAGTTTTGTTATTTCTGATGAAAGTTTCTTTTAAAAAGTCAGAAAAATTTATTTCTAAAGTTCTAAAGTTCTAAAGAAATTTTGAAAAATTTCTATACAAAAATTAAATTTGAAAAAACAGGTAAATTTTAACCCGTTGCCTGTTTCCGACCCACCCGTGGGTCGTGTTCACTGTCACTCAAAATAAATATAATTTGTATATAAATTTATAGATATCTTTCTTTACATCAATATTATAAGAAATTATAAGGGTCATTAATGATATTTTAGAAAATAATTGAATAATTAGTTAGAATTTAAATATATTATACTATTTGAAAAAGTATCAGATTCCGCTGGGCATTTTGGGACAATCATGTTGTATTTTCCTCAAACAGTAAAGGGGTTAATAAAAGTTAGTAAATATTATAGTTTCAATTTTAGAAATCAGTGACTTTTTCATGTAATATTAGTTGAAAAAAAGAGATTTTAATTTTCAAAAAAGGAATTTAGTATAAAAAAGAACAATTTCCAAATTAAGTAAAACCTTCTTTTACCACAACGTGTACAATTTATTATATTAAAGATTTTTTTATTTTTTAATCTTCATTACAACTTTTGTTTTTAAATTTCTTATATTTACTATGGAGTTAGTAAAACATTTTCAAAACTAATCAAATTTATTATTAAAAATTGTCATTTTCAGAATAACTTTTACTATTTTCTAAGACAATTTTTTTAAAATAAAAATTAGAAAAATTTACTCTAAAAATAAGAATTTTTAACATCTTATTGTTTTCCAGGTCAATTTAAATCATTTTTATACAAAAATTATAATTGAAAATCATCTATTTTTTGAACGAAATTTATTTTTTCCTTCTTCAAATTAAACATTTATTATAATAATTTTGAGTTATTATCGAAAAAAATTAATTTTAAAGTTTCTAAATGTAAAATCTGAGTTTTTAATTTTTCTTGTAATCAGTAATTTATGAAAATATTTTTAATAACGAATATTTCGCTCATTTGAACTTTAAAAACTTGAGGGTCACATTTTGCTATAAAAAATAATTTTTTCGAGAGTAAATTTTATAATATGCATCATTTTAGCTGTCTTAGGGGATTTTTTTCATTTGAAGGAATAAAAAAATAGATTAGGCAAAAAGGGACTTATTGTGATCCCAGAAATTGATAAAAGAAATTTCTGGGCCATTTTTCCCAAATTCTAAAATTTTGTTTACATTGTAAGTCAAAATTCCTTAAAAAAAACAAAAGAAAAGAGGTAATTTAAAATATAATTTATATAATTTAATATTGAGTATACCGATTGTTTTATTATATTTTTTTGTAGGTCTGGCACTACTGCGACCTGAATGGTGGGAAATCATCGTTTTTATGTCCAAATGGAACGATTTTCAATCAAGTGGCTCTAACCTGTGATTGGTGGTTCAATGTAAAATGTGAATCTACTACACAACTATATGTATTAAATGAACGACTCTATAAATATATTTTGCCAGTAATGCCTAAATTTCCTGAGGATTTCACCGGACCGGAAGTGGACAGATACTTGGAACAAAAATTCAAGGAAATTGAAGCCAAATTACAGGAGAAAAAATTGAAGAAAGAACAAGAAGAGAAAGACAAGACACAAGAAAGCATTAAGGACGAAATGTTGTCAGAAAATAGCTCGGAATAATGTGCCTTTTAAATCAGCTACTATGATTTCAGTATGAGAAACAATTTCTATAGGTAAAATTAAATGAAATAAGCTGCCATTACTGTATACAACAGGCAAGATCTTCAAATTTTTAAACTACTATCAATGTTATGTGTACACTTAAAAAAGAAAGTTTTGTCAAATTTTACTAAAATAGTTTACAAATTAGTAAACAAAATTGATAATTGTACTTAAGGGCATTTGAACCTTGATGACGTCACACATGCTTTGCACAATCTGTAACGTCATCAAGGTTCAAATGCCCTTAAAAAAAAAAAACAGGACTTTTAAAACAGACTTAAAAAATTTGCCAATAATTATAGACAGAATTAATTTTCATATAAATTTGAAAAAAGCTTTCTTTTTTAGTTTGTATTAAATACGGTTGCCGCACTGGTTTTCTGAAGTTCTAGTCATACTACTTTAGTAATGTACACTTATTTATACAAGACTGCAATTTCATTGTTGTTTGTGGCGATATTTAAAACAAGTGAAATTCTGAAGAATGCGATAATGGTGGTTCAGAGTTATTTGAAATTGAATTAATAATCAAATTTAACAAAATAGTTCCTTCTTTCAATTTTGATCGTGATTTATAAAATTTTCTAATTTCTAAATAAATATAACTAACGTGACTGAGCAAGATAGTCTTGTTCTATGAGCATGTAAATAACATTTTGTAATTTTGTTATAAAAACTGTTGAATAAACTTATTTATTACTTAACGTTTCTTTATCTTTAAGAAAAAGATTCCTAAAACTTTAAATTTGGGTTTTAAAATTTTTTAATTTCCGCAAAGAAAATGAAATCTTACCTTTTGTGTATGATGTACTCGCTGTAACGTCTCTGCGATTTTTTTGTACGCCTGGTCGAAATCCTCCTTCAAGCTCTCGTTCTGTAATAATGATTTCCAATTAAAATAACGAACAGCAGAATGTTAAAGAGGAAAATAAATTTTGAAGAATTTTGGTCTTACCCTTGCCGCAATTGATTCGAATGTGTGTCCATTGTGTAGTTCAAGTAAGCATACTGAGCACGAAACTACACAACATTCTTGACAGTACGTAAAAAAAGGCTTCTGGTCATGCTGTGCACACTTCGTGTATGAAGATATATCGAAAGTGTCCTGCTTATTGGAAATCGTCACTTTGCAATGATTCTCCAATGCTCGTCCATGAAGCTGTTGAATAGAAATTTTTTTTACAATCAATAAATTCTAATCTATTTCAAATATTCTTATTTACCTTTGCAAAACAAGAATCGCAGAGTAGAACATTGCATTCCACACATTTTAATACAGCTCTATGCATACATTCACTGCAGAGATCTGAAAAAGAAAGAGAATTTATTTTTTAGGAAACAACTTTGTTATTTTAATTATATTTAAAAATTCACTATATTTTATTTATTTCAAGTAAATAATATGCCAACCTTGAGCAAGTGTTTGTCGAATTTTCGATCCTGTCGACTGATAAAAGTGAAGATCTGGATCATTTATATTGCCAGAGCGATTCTGAGAAAGATTAATCGCACCCAATGTGTAAACATCAATAAAAAGATTGGGTTTTTCTGAATTCTCTGTTTTTAGTTGAGGTTGTTCACAAGCATTGCAAGTCAGGTTAGAATTTGTTTGATGACAATAATCGCACACTGTGTGTCCACATGGTAGCAGTAAAGGAACACGTGATTCCTTTTTGTAGAAATTATTCTCTGTAAATATAAAAAAATACATATTTATTTTTTACAGCAACAGAAATTTTCGGTTATCTTTTCTTCAGTCATTTTTAAATCAACTATTTAAGAATAAATAACCAAAATTTATTCAAAATTAAATAGAAAATGAATGAAATTCTGTTTAGAATTCTATAAAATAAGCTGTTGTAAGAATTAGTAATTTATTGTAATAGTAATTTATCGCGATATTGTGTGACAGAAAAATGTGATCAAGTCACCGGTGAGAGAATGTAAAAATAATTGTCATCGTAATCAAACGAAACAGGTGAAATAAATTTTCTCAAAAATGACAAAATAGGAATCAATTGTAATACTGTATCATTATTTTAACTTTGCTTTTTGATTTGCTTTTACAATTGAAAAAAGCCGGTAAAATTTACATAAAAAAATAACATTGAAAGACTAACTTTTGAGGTTATTTTTTGAATTCACAAAAATTAGAATAAAGAAAGTAAAGAAATGTGACTAAACTACATAAGTTAATGAATAATTGCAAGAAAGTATTATTAATATACAATTAACGATTAAAGACATGTGGTTAAGAACAAAGAATCTTACCTTTTGAAGAGAACTGATGCTTGCACTGAACACATGAGAAGTTTTTCGTCTTTATCTCTGGATATGAGAAGACGATCGGTTTCTCATTCTTCTCGATCCGACTCCCCTTCATATTTATTTTCACGAGAATTCATCCACTAAATTAAAAAAGTACGAAATTGTCTTGATTCACTATAATGAACAACTTACTGATCAGTCGAAGATGGCAAATGATGTGAACGATGTGAAGAATCGCACGGAGAATATGCGCACTCTGCACTACTGGTGAGCTCTTCTTGTATTGGTTGGACAAATAAATCAAAGATGTCGGCTCAGTAGCGTATCAACTGAAAGCAAAACCCCCTTGAATTAATGTACAATATTTAATTGTTTAAAATAATAATTTAATTGATATAAAGTAAAATTATATTAAATTAATTACAATTTTTGTACACAGATTGCTTGTATAAAAAATTTACAAATCGTTTTAAAATATTTGAGATAAAGCTCGGATAAAGTAAAGTAAATAAATGTTTTTAATTTTATTGTATGAATTCGTTCCTGAGATACAAGAGCCACCACGTGCTATAGGTAAAAGAAATTGTCATCTTCTTTTTCATTAAATAAATTAATTAAATATTAATTAATAATCAGTAATTGTGCTATTATTTTATAAAAGTTGGTTCTAATTTAAAAATTACTTACTTATATCTATTAATTTATTGATATGGTTAAAAAACTAATGTAATTTGTATTTTCGACTATTTGCAGGAAATGAAATTTCAAATATCTCACGTGACACCTTTTAAATTTCCGGTAAGTCAATTATGAATTTTTCTCAACTGATTAATTTTTGTTTTGGAACATTTTTTTACAATTTTACTTAGTGGAGATTTTATAAATTGTATAATATGTTTTCTAAACATTAACAATATTTTTAATAACACGGTAATTATTACACATAGTTATTCAGCAATAATTGTTATTAATTACATATTATTAAGCTACGGTAGCTCAATTTTTATTCTCTGCGCATTAAATATATTGAAAAAAATAGCATAAAATGTTTTCAAACAATTTTAATTGCAATTTTTTTTATAAACATTTATTTCTATTAAAATAATATTATAAATGACTAATTCTTGCATTTTAAGGGAAGGGTTCGCCTACATTTTTAACAGTATCAAGAAAAAGATTTAAATCTTTGATAACATTTTTTTGTAGTAATTTTTTTCGAGAAGAATTCAATGGTCATAAATTAAACTCGGTCAGAAAATATTTTTTTATGGAAATTCGTTTATTTTTCTAACTAATTTAAAATCATAATTTTAAAAAAAACAAAAAATTATGATTTGAAATTGGTTAGAAAAATAAACAAACGAATATCCAATTAAAAAAATTGAATGACAATTGTATTTTCTTGGCATTTTTAACTTAGAAACAATGCTTTTTTCCAAAAAAATGCTTCAAAAATAACAAAAATTAATTTTTTCACTCGGTAATTTTTGTTGTTCATAAGTACAAGAACCTATTTTCTACAAAATTACGGACGAATTTAAAAAAATATGAAATTAGAAAAATAAAAGTTCTAAAAGGATCATAATATTTTCTGACTGATTTTATTTTATGACCATTGAATTCATCTCCAAAATTGTGGTTAAATGAATCCCTTAATTTGTAACATTATAATTTATATAGATGAGAGGAAAGCATAATATATTTTTCAACAGCGCATATATATCAGTATGCACTGTACCGATTTGGAACATTTAAACAATGAAATAAGAAAATAGGGAATGAAGGTAAGAAGGAATCTTACGTTGAAATTCCGTAAGGAATTCCACATGAATATATTCTATGAAACTTAACATTAGCTTCAGGTAATAAAATAGTTATCCCAACTAATAAAATACCATTGCCGTATGTATATGTATTATAAACTAAGTAGTTGAGCATGAATTATTATAAGTTAGTTTCTGGAATCTTTACATCTTAAAAAACTGAAGACAAAAATTAATTCTTTATAGGTATAACTTTGTCATTTACTCTAAAAATGTTCGCAACACATAATATCCTTAGAAAAACTGAAAATTTTTAGAATTATAAAGAATTCGATAGACGATAGAGAGTAGAAATGAAATTGAATTGAAAAAGTAAAAAGCTTAAGAATAATTAACAATGGAGTTTTTATCGCAAATAAGTAAAAACTAGATACCAAAAATGTCTCCTCGAGGCGCCTATTTTTTTCAGTGATGTCACTGCTTGAAAATGTTGATAAATCATTAGCTATGCTTCGGGTCTTTTAAATATCTCTCCTCGGCTGCGAGTTTTCATATTTTCTTCGTCTGGATAGCGAAAACATGAGTTAGATCTAGGTCTAGGTGCGGTTTAGAGGCCCGTTATAATCCCGCCCAAGCAAGCAAGCAAGCGACCAGTTCGCCAGTGGACTCAAGGCAAAAGCAGGCAAAAGTTTAAGTTGAGCTCTGCAGTATAGGTACAGGTACCAAGGTCTAGGCTAACAACATTCAAGGTCGCGTGCAGAGCGCAAAGTCCGGATCTATCCCCACGCCCTTTGCATTCTTCTCTCTCTCTCTCTCTCTCTCTTTTCACAACACACTACTAACTCATCCCCCTAACCCTTCTCTACTTTAATTTTCCGTCTCACTCTTTCTCGTACTGACGCCAAGTGCAACATCGATTTACCCATAAAAATTCCCCCCTTGCATCACTTTGCTATTACTTCCTGCCCGGGCTTCATCGGCTGCTCCCAGATTCGCTGTCATTCGCTGTGCAATCTTCTTAGAAAGAGAATCAAGACCACAATGGGCAGAAGTAGCGGATTCTTCATTCACCTTCTTCTCTTTTTTTCACATTTTTTCCAAATCCTTTTTCTATATATTTTATATTACTATATACTATGTATCTCTTTTTACTCCATTTTGTACTTTACTTTTTCTTATATTCTTACTTTAATTCTCGCAATGAAAGCCTTTTAAGATCCGGAATCTTGCTCTCTTATAAAGTACGCATTTAAGAACAAAACAACTTTATCATTTTCGAAATGAGACAACACTATTATTTTTAAATTATTAAAAATATGCGATATGCTATATGAGAGAGTTCTAAATCATATTGTTGAAAAGTTTTACATTTCAAATTATACCTACAAATTTTGACTTTCGAATTCAGTTGTGATTCAAAATTTTTTATACAATTTATTTAAAACAAGATGAACTGAAGAAAGGAAAAAAATTAATACAGCTACGCTTTCTTCTCTTAATGTTTATAGTACCTACAACTACCACGATTGGTTCTCAACTATTTTCAAATAAAAATTAGTTTCTAATTTATAAATCAAGATTTAGAAAGTCAGTTCAACAGGGAACCAACAATAATTATCACATAGTGCATTTGTTTTGTTAATAAAATCATTTGATTTAATGGTAAACAATTCTCTTGCTCAGAAAAAATAGTATGCACTTTTTATCAATATGAGAGAAAATCTCTAAACGCGAATGCATTTTGGCATACATTGAGGGTGTCTTTAATGGAAAAATCAAATATTAAAACCACTGCTTTCGGTATCTCAACTTATAGATTGGCGATTGGCATTGTAAGATTAATAAATACCCTCTTTACCTTTTAATATTTTTTTCCTCTTTACTTCATTTTATACATTATTTCAAAAATATTTTGCAAAACACTTAATGAAAAATTTAATTCTTATTTACGTTCAATCCTAAAGTATATAAGGTTATCTAGAGCAAAATTTATTTTTATATTTAAAACAAAAGTTGAAAATTGGATTGAAAAAAATTACTCTGATATTCTGTTAAAAAATAGCATGTTATTCTTTATAGTACAGATTTATTTTACATGTTTAATTTTTCTCTTATCTTCAGTAATCTAACTTTGTACTGAACTGCAGTAACTTTACTTTGACCTACATCAAGTTATGCACCAACTGCCTCTGGTAAAAGGGCAAAACTGATTTCTAATATTCTCAAAAGAGCTGATGCATAGAAAATTGACTGATTAGAAAATAAGCAAAAAGGTAAATAAATAAAGGGGTTTTAATTAGTCATTTTCGAAATAAAAAACTTAATGGCAAACTAATTTTAATCCAAATTTTCAAAAACAAAGACTCTTTTAAATTTACATTTCAATATGGGTATACCTATAACAATTTAAAAATTACACAAATATTTTTTTCCCCATTTTAAATCAGTTCAAAATCAATGATTCAAAACTATAATCATTTTATTTCAAAATAAAAGTTTTAATATTATTAAAGTATCATTATTATTGAAAGTATTATTATCATAAAGTATTATTATTGAAAAATGTTTTGAAATTTAATTATTTTTAATAATTCACATGTGAATTATTAGATATAATTAAATAGTTATAGTGCAGTATAAAGGTTCTAATATTCAATTATTATCTAAAATGTTAACTATAATTCAATTTTGTATCAATTCTTATTTTGAAAGTTCTACTAGAATTCAATTATTTAAATACAAAAATAAATAATTTATTGAATAATTGAATATTTTTTAAATAATTGAATTCTTTCGAAGAATTTTAATATAATTTTTTAGAATAATTGCATTTTTTGAGGAATTCATTTAAAATTATTGTATATATTAAAAATAATTGAAATTCCGCGATGAGTTTTATTATTTATGAAATTAGGAATAGTATTCTTGCAACAAATTTTATTACATTTTTTAAAAAAATTGAATCCCTGTGTTTATAAAAATAATAGAATTCTTGTAAAGAATTTTATAAAAATCTTTTAAAACACAATTGATTTTTTTTCGAAAATTTTTATAAAAATTGTGTTTTAAATAATTAAATTCGCGTGAAAGTTTTTGATTGTTTGCAAAGAATTTTATCAATTTTTTTAAAACATTTAAATACTTTTGGGAAATTTTATATTAAAATAGTAGACATTGCGAAAATAATTGAACTTGGAAAATTTTTTGAAAATAATAATTCAATCGTTTGAAAGAATTTTATTAAACTTGAAATACTGAAATTATTGGTTCAAATAGAATTTAATTACCTTAAATAAAGATTATTTCAGTCAAATAAATATTTATTTGATAGACAAGTAATCGGTTATTTGAATCAAATAAATTTTTTTTCATTACCCGTGTGGAAAATGAAAATTGGTCCTAGCCAGGTCCTACCTATTTTGCCCTGTTAATAGCTTGGTCCTAGGTTGGCAGTGTAGGTTGGACCAACAATGGGTGGTGATGCGATTCTAGTCTGGTCCTAACTTGGGAGCCTAGTTAGGACCAGTTTATGGGTCCATTTTAGGACCTAGAAAGGACCATCTCAG